TTCTATCCTGGAGATAATTGTGAAGTAATCCAATTATCTCCAAAGACAGAGGCAAAACTCCATTGAACACATGGCAGCAAAAATACAGTAAAATACAATAAAATACACAAGGTTACATGACATAAAATACAGACATGCAACATATGCCCAGATAGCTTAGGTCTGAGCACGACATTATTACTGAATGACGCTCAGAGCACACACATACAGTTCAATTGCCATGGAGCCAAAGTCTTCCCCATAGTCTTTCATTATACGAATGGGCTCCATGGCATAGCTATCTGGGGTATCACTGCTCAAACAGGGCAAGCACCAAATGACCCGGCATTCTTGTCTTTGCAGGGGAAAATCAAGCCTTTTAACATGGGCCATAATCCAAAGGCAACAGGCGAGCAACCAGGCTTCTCCAATGCAATGTGGCGAGATTGCTCTCGTCACAAGGATCATAACTCCTCCCACAAATTCAGGCCAAATGGCCTTCAACTTATGCTCGGAATTTATCTAATACGTAATGGAATGTAGAAGGAGAAGCAAAGTTGGTTGAGGTGTGCCGAAACCAACGTACGAGTAGGCCTGAAAAAGAGGGCAAAAGAAAACACACTTTATTGCAAGTTAATACAACATGAGTACTGAAAGCTTGTAAGGAGCTTTTACTCTGATTGAGGTATATTTGTAACTGAGCTGAGGATTACCTGTGGCCCCATAACTTAGTGATGTAGACTGGGGTGTAAGAGCTTGAAGCTGCTGATGCAGCGCTTTGCGACAGAGAGACCAGCAAAGGAAGCCATGATGTAGCTTCACCCTAATGGAAGGTTTAGACATAAAGTAGTGGATTAGGACTGATAGTGTGTGGTTGACCTTGGAGACGGAAACGGAGTGACAGCATAGGAGGTTTAAGTAAGGTGCTTGATTTGTAGGCTTGGAGGAAAAGGCAAAAAAAAAACATAATTTAACTGCAAAAAGTCTTGATACAAGCAAACTCTACTTGTGACATGTACAATATACAAGGCCCTGGCGTGAGTGATAGAGTAGTCGTGAAACTGCGTGAATCGTGCGTACCCTTACGTGGTGTAATTGTGTGCTTAGTTCAAGATTAGCTCACGTAATAGTGGTATGATGGATGGTATGTAGAGGGTCGTAGGGAGTGCCTGAAAGAAGACCTTAAAGTTAGAGCGTCATTGGCTGGGTAGTGGACACCAGGAATGTAAATGTAGACTAGAAAGAACTGAGAGGTTGCTGCCTGCCAAATCAGCCTGTGAAATGTCACAGTGGTTAGCGAGTATGACCGCCCTTGTTAATGAAATTGCAGGCTGCGGAGTTGTCAGAGCAGTATTTAATATCCTTGCCGGTCCAAAGATGACCCCATGTGAGGGTGGCCACCATGATGGGGTAGATCGCTAATAAAGTAGATGTCTCTCTAAAGGCCAGCAAGGCATCCGTGACAGTGGGCCAGACCTCCCCAACCAGTGGTTGCCGAAAAATGGCTGCGAACCCTGTGTGTGCTGCTGCGTCTTTGTGAAATTGAAAGTGAGTGTTTTGAAAGTGGGGGAATGAACAAAGAGATCCCAATACATGTGGCCGAAAAACCTACTCCAATTGTGTAAACTGCCCTGGCTGGATCGTCCCGAATGGTTGGGCAGGAGTTGGCACCTTTTGGAGCAAGTTTAAGTAGCCCAGGGACAAGAGACCCACCCTGCGGAATGATACGCCCACAAAGCAGAGGGTATGGGTACACGTATGGGTAAAGTGTAATAATGAAATGTAACGTATGAACCCGTGTACGATGAGGGACCTGAATGTGGGTCCGTAAGTAGAGACAAGCCCCCCGGGGTTCCCACGATTGTGACGTTTACATGATACGATGGCAAGGTGAGGCCTTGAGAAGAAACGCAATCATAGTGAGTAAGATTTACAATACCTGAAACTGAAATGCAGGGAACCAGGTAGTCTTGTTGGTGGTTGATGTCGTGTAACTTAGTGAAACTGCGGTGAAGACACAGATCTGAGTGAAGAAATGTAGAAACAATGTACAAGAAATGTACGGTTAAATAGTAGTAGCGAGGTGGTATAGGTTTGAGTAATTGATGTTCCAATCGTAGTGAGGAATTTCAGACCTGGTCCGTTTGAAGTTTAGAACCCACTTTGGGAGGTGGGGGGGCTAAATGAGGCTGTGGAGGCTGAATGAGGCCTCGAGGGAAAAAGAGAACTGGTAAACCTTCTTACCTGATACCGTAATACAGGGTATTGGGATTACAATTCTTGAAGACTGTTTGGAGGAAAGCAGTAGAACCTAAAAACATATGCAGTCTAAGTGTAAGGAACCGGTATATAAGGTCTTTTAAGGAACGGAGGTTTTAAATCGTGTTAGTGGTCTGTCATGACAAAAGACTGTATGGGCTTAACCTATGGGCATAGTGACCTTAGATGCGTAGTAGATTAATACATTAGTGAAAGTACAGTAGACTAAGTCCCCTCAGGGTTAGTTAATAATGCCTGGAGGTGTGTATTATACGTAACTTATAAAAAGAAAGTGGCCAAACTGTGCCTTTAAGAAGATTACACTGTTAAAAAGTAGATGTCCCACAACCATGTGACGTGAATTAGTGAAACACATATCATTTTTTAACCAGTGGTGACTTTAAGAGCCATATAATAAAACGTAACATCATATAGGAAAAATAATGTAAGTGTTTGGTTTAAAAAATGCATAACTAGATATATTCATGGTAGATTAAATTTAAACACTGTAGCCCCTTGCGTTCACTAAAACGAATGAACAAGAGTACTATTGTAGTAGATGATTTACTGCAAACCAATTAGTTTGAATGACTATCTGTTCCTGTCCAAATTAAAGATAATAAAGTTGCGTGCACGCAGAAGTAAATTCACACTGAGACACAGAGTTCAGGTTAATGAAAGAACTTCGGAGAAGTTTAATGGCTTCTGTTTAAAAAGCAGGCTCGCAGGCCCTTTTAAAGGCATTATTACATCATTGAAGAAAATCAAGATATAGACAAATAGACATTGTTAATTGGCTTAGGTGCTAAGTAGTTAGTAAAATGCCCTCCCTACGGGGTGTACCATCTTAGGTCACTATCCTCGTCATGATTGTCTCCTCCAGGTTTTAGCGCCATTTTGTTAACATGAGGAGCTCACTCGACGGGAGGGGCCTTTTGGCAGCTATCCATTTAGAGTGTAGCCTGGCACTGTTAGTTTCTCAAGGTTAGGTTTCAAGGCTTTTAGTAAAAACACATTTTATCAAAGCTATTTCTTGCTGACATGCAAATTCTATGTTCTATAGACAAAGCTTTCTTGTAAAACTATGGGGCCTCTTAGAGGTATAGCAAGAGGATTTAAAGGGGCCTTACAGATTTATAGAGGCCAATTGAATAATCAGCTGCAGGCTGTAATGTGGAAATTAACAAAAGGTTGCACGAAAAGCCATTTGAAAGTGTTCGGCTGTTTGAACGCACAAAAGAAACAGAGGAACGTAGGGTAAGTATGTACGTACGGTAAATTGATTTAAACGAAAGTAAACAAAAGCGTGTGTATTCCAGCCGCACGAACGTGGAAGTACACGAACAGCGTAATTGAATGAATAGGTAAGTAATAAAGGGAATATAAAGCAAGGTGTAGGCGCTCTCTAAAATAACTGGGTGTACGGCAGCAGTGAACCAGCAGGATTCTCAATAGCTGCTAATCAGAACCAAAAAGTGCGAAAACAGAGTGGTAAACCGCGCCACAGAGGAATACAAAGTGATTAAAATATAATGTGATTAAAATATAAAATGGCATATACATAGATACAGGATATTCCAATAATATGATGGTGTATATAACCCTTAAACAGAATAAAATATAAACAATAATAGTGCAATATATCAAGTAAATGGAATATATATCCAATAAAAGGGGAACTATATAAAAGACTAACTCACACTTTGCAGAGCTGCTAAGAGCTCTGCCATATAGCGCCTGGATGGTACAATCCCCGTCTGGGATATAAGGATAGTAGTGGGATGTAATATCCAATTTGTCACAGCTGTGTATATGTATAAAAACACAAATAAAGTCCAATGGTACAGTATGTACTAAATGCTTATAATAAAAGAAAGGTAAATATCCTACTTATAGATTCCAGAGCAATGACTTGCTCTGGTGTTGATAGCTTGTGGTGGTATAATCCCCACCAAGAGATATAGCAGGATCCAAAGTGCACTAGGAACAGTTATAAAACCAGAGGGAGTAGGAAAAACTTTATTATTAAAAAAAATAAAAAAATAAAATCTATATATAAAAGTCAGCTTCCAGTCTCTCTCATCAACTTAACGCATTTCGCCCTGGTTTGGGCTTCTTTAGAAGTATTAACTTGTATAGGTGTCCATCCATATTATATAGAAGATGTTAATGGATACATTGTCAGGATATTTATATCGGCAGACATTTGGTGCTAAAATAGAAATTAAAAGTGTATATTTGCCAGAGTCACTCAGAACAGAGCAGACTCCATTTTGCTATCTTCAGGATAACAAAGACACATAATTGCCTTGCTACCACTGAGCCTAAGCTAAGGAATGCATTATATAAACAAGCCAAGTGATAAGCAATGAAGCAGGGGGATAGAAGGCCCTGTCTAAATGTTAATGGAATAGAAATAATTCTAAACACAGACACTAGTGACAGAGAAGACCAAGTAATTAATTTTACTCTCTAAATTTTACAAGGTCCCATTGTAAGTAAGGGGTGAAATTGAGTTTAGAACTGTCAATTTTAGACATTACGATCAAAGTAGTTGCCACAAAGACTGAGACAAACGCTTTGAACTGACAGCAAATTTAAATTATGGTAGTCATTTTAGATAAGCCAATTGACGTCAAAATCGTCATCAGGAAAAGTTAACTCTTTCCTGGATAGGAAGGTTTAGTGAGGTGAGACTGTCCTCTATGGATCAAATACCTAAATAGCGATCTGTAGGTTGAACACACCTTCAGTTTCCTATTGGCCTTATCAACTAATGACGTACAGAGAGTCTGGCCCTTTAAAAGTTAGGACAAAGGGAAGAGAGAGGTTAGTTGGTGGAGTTTGGGCATTCAGATTCGGACATACAGAGAGATTCAGGACACTCTCTGGGACTAACACTCAACTCTCAAACTCTCTTGGACACAACTCAAGAAACACTCCTTGACACTTAGAATTTTACTGATACTTTCTAACCAACACCACTTTTCTCTATTACTCACACACCTCCATACAACCAATCATACTCGCATTTTCCTGGGACTTCCTACTCATCTGATGAGAATATCTACATAACTGGTAATTATGCTGGTTTTGTAATTAATCTAAACTAATTAAAATCTAATAGCATGATATATGACTGGATAAATCACGGTCAGACTTCAATATTTAGAAATCTTAGTTAACTAAAGAATATATAGTTATAAACATTCCATTCTGCAGGTGGAATTAAGAATAATTATATATTAATGTGATATTATCACGTGTTAGAATACCTTTGTTTTTATCCAGGTGTATTGATTTGCCCTAATATAAGATAAGATATATTTTTAGGCAAATTAAAATTCGGCTTTTGTAAAAATCTGGTAGATTATTCTTATTGGATGGTTCCAGGAAATGATTAATGAGCCGTTTCAAATGTTATTTTAATTGAAAATTACAAGAGAATAGGATACCATATGCCTAGGAGGATCTAGTCAGCATTGAAAGAGTCACTCAGTTGATTTAACTGTTAGCCAAGGTTTTATGGCTTTTCGCTGTGTGAAGTTTTACTTTCTGTCTGTGAAGTACCCTCATAAATCTTATTAAGTGACAGGTGATGCTGTAGCTTTGTAATGTGTTTAGCCATTGCCATTGTATTACAAACTTATGTTATACTAAATATTCACTGATTATTATCATGCATGCTGCCTAATATTATTATTATTTTATTTGTCACAATAAATTATATCTATTTTTATAATAAATTGTGATTTTGTTTGTATGGAATACATTTCACTTACATGATAACGATCTCTAAGATCTAAGTGAATTGAAATAGTGGGCAATTCTCTACTGTTTAATATTATCATCCCATAAATATCCCCACAACATGTTGATCCAGTGTGCACTCTTCCGGGTTCGCGTGCGTCAATCGGAAGTGACGCAACGCGACTGGCAAAGGATGTAGGAACGTGTAGTCCATATAGTTCTATTGTCAACGGTAGTCGCATATGTTGCCCGGAAAAAACATAACGCCGCTCCCGGTGGTGGATGGGACAGGTAGTTCTGTATAGTGAAGCTCTATTATAAATGCTTTCCAAATTATCATGTAAACGGAAGCTCACAGGCTTCATCAAAAATAAAAAAAGAGAAGTATACAAACAAAGTATTTACTTCACATAAAATGGGTCTGTTTTATTCCAAGTAAAACAGGATATAGATTGAAATAGAGACTTTCTTATAACATTTCTGATCCTAAAAATAAAAAAGGGAAACTTATAAACAGAAATTTCACAATACATATTGACTAGTGATGTCGCGAACCCGAAATTTTCGGTTCGCGAACGGCGAACGCGAACTTCCGCAAATGTTCGCGAACCGGCGAAACGCCCGAAACGCCATTGACTTCAATGGGGAGGCGAATTTTAAAACACACAGGGACTCTTTCTGGAAAAGTTGTTTCAAGGGGACTAACACCTGACTGTGGCATGCGGAGGGGGATCCATGGCAAAACTCCCATGGAAAATTACACAGTTGATACAGAGTCTGGTTTTAATCCATAAAGGGCAGAAATCACCTAACATTCCTAAATCACAATCAATATGGATTGACACCTGACATATGACATATTGACACCTTGACATATGGATTGACACCTGTCCTCAGAGCCCCTGATGCACACGGACACAGAGCAGAATAGAGACTGGTCCCCCTACATAGGGTCACTTGGCAGATATGGATTGACACCTGTCCTAAGGTTCCCTGGTACACACTGACACAGAGCAGAATAGGGACTGGTCCCCTACATCGGGTCACTTGGCAGATATGGATTGACACCTTGTTACAAACTGCTATTTGTAACGGGCCCTTTAAATGGCAAATTGCCCTGCTTCCCTGGGTTGTGGAGAAGCCTATTTGCCAGCCTCCTCCCGCATGACTATGGCCCCTGGGAGATTGTGAAAATGTATGCACTTTTATTTGGTGTGTATGGCCTTTAAGACTGTCGGTGGGCATATTGGGGCTTATGGACTCTTTATGTGACTGGTGCTGGCCCTTTAAACACCTTTTTTGGGACATCAGGAAGATTGGGACACTGCCCCTTTAAGGCCGTGTCCCCAGACTTGTTGGGGACACGGCCCCTTTAAGACGGTGTCCCCTGTGTCCCCAGACCTGGTGCAAACCCTTTGTGCCTGCCTTGCTATTTCCCACTTGGTTCAGTAAATGGGAAATTATTTCAGCTGCAGAGACTAAGTCCCATTAAGTGATGGGACTTGGTCTTTTCATACCCGTTTTTTTCAGCCCATTTCAGCTGCGGGGGCCCCAAGTCCCATTGTGATCGCGATGGGACTTAGTCGTTTTTTCAGCCTGAAATAGACCGACCTCACAGCCCAAATCTATGGAACTGTTTTGGGCAGGAAAATGTGCTTGCGGTCGGTCATAAAAGGACCTCCAGCTAACTTTTTAACCCCTGGATGGATTTGGCTGATTTTTGGTTATGTTTATGTTTTAAGTGTGCTGATTCCAAATATGTAATTATGAAGATGGGATGTGTAGTTTTAAAGTTACAGGGTATGGCTAAAAAACTGTATTTTTACTGCCTGTGTTTAATTATGTTAATCTCTTCCCAAACGTCATTTCGTTCAAAGTGGAGAGAATGTTAAAAAAAAATATTTTTGTTCTGAGTGTGAGAAATGCTTTTCAGCAGCTTCTAATCTTAAGCATCATTTGAGGAGCCATA